CTGAACGCAAGAATTTCTAATGCAACTGTTTTTAAAAATGGTTGAATCACAATGACCTATCCGACAACTATAGTCAGGAATGGCTCTACTTTTGCTTTGGGGGTCACGGGAGGAGTTCTGTAACTATGCAAAAAAGCCTTGCAGAGGCCCTAACTCCCAGCAGAAAGCTTCTCCAGCTTCCAGAAAAACTTACTCTGATCTTTTCTGCAAGAATTTCTAATGCAACTGTTTTTAAAAATGGTTGAATCACAATGACCTATCCGACAACTATAGTCAGGAATGGCTCTACTTTTGCTTTGGGGGTCACGGGAGGAGTTCTGTAACTATGCAAAAAAGCCTTGCAGAGGCCCTAACTCCCAGCAGAAAGCTTCTCCAGCTTCCAGAAAAACTTACTCTGATCTTTTCTGCCCTCTGACAGGACCTTCTGACACGGACATCTGCAACCATGCTACAGGTAATCCTCTCTGCTGCTCTCGTGGAAGAGAGGATCTTGACTCCAAGAGAGCGGATCATCTTTGGAAAGGCCAGAATCCAACAAATACAGTGAGATTTAACTCTTTTTTTATTTGTCAACACAGAAGGTATTTCAGAGACAAGCAGCAATGGAGAAAAAGGTGAACACAGCCACTTCCAAGGGGAGAGAATGATGCCTGCTTTGAGTCACGGGTCTCTAGTGCTCTCTTTAGGGTGTTACACCCAATGCCACTGCAACCACACACGAACTTCAGGCGCTGGTGATGTGGTTTACAGCGAGCAGCTCTGCAGCCAGTCCCCCCTGCCAATGTCTGATGAGCTGTTCAAGTCCCACGTAGCTGCTTACACCAGCTACTCTCCTTTTGTCTAAGGCTTTGATTTGCTTATCCAAAGATTTACCTCCTGGATGACAAAAGAAGACAGCAGTTTTATTAACGTTACACAACCATGTTACCTGGCAGCATCTGCAGAGTTTTTTCAGTCTGTTGAAAAAAGGAGCTTCAGAGTCAGCCTGCTGCATAAAAGCATCAGAAAGTCTTTTTGGAGACTGATAGCACTCTGGTTTCTGATTAAGAAGCCAGGAAGATGCTCAGATCCTATTTAGGCTTCCCACCATGGATTATAGCTCATCATTAGCCAATTAATTCAGTACAGTAAGAGAAGGTTATGGTTTCTGGACACTGTCTAATAGCAGTGGACCTGTACTGCCGCAGCGCAGAAAACATAAAGGGGCACAGTGGCATGTGGTGTAACTGTACCAGGCGTTACGGTGTCAGGGGCTTTCCAGCCCAAGACAGGCTCAGCCTGTTGCCGAGACAAGACACTGGAATCAGCTCTTGGGATATGTCTGTCCACCTAGAGCAGCCCTGGTGAAAGTCAACCTGAAGAGGGATCATCGGAAGTAAACAGAGAAGTCTGCCAAGTGAAAGCAAGTTTCTTAGAGAACATCTGTTACTCTGTCAGGAGTTGCAGTTCAGACGCAGGCACGTCGCTGGGATGCCAAGGATGTAGCAGGGGTGAAATAAGGCCCTTGGATCAAGTTTTCTAGGTCACTGCTAGTCTACTGAGCAGTGTCTTCCACTGCCAGTGTTGGCTACACATCTTATACTTTCCACTCATCCACTGGGTAACAGGGAAAGCAGCATCCTCAAAAAACAAAGTCCAATATCTGGGATTAGGGCAACCAAAGGACTATGCCAAATTTCATTTTTATGCTGTATTGTTAAGAAAAACCTTACTAAAATACGAAGCAGATTGTATTGTAACAGTCTACACTGTTGTTTGCAGAGAAGCTACTTTCAGGTTGTGCCCAGCCACTGCTCAAAACCCAATCCACAGCTGCACAGGGATTTGTCCTGGAGGTCACCGTAAGGACTTCACATGCTCCAGGTTTCTGCCACCAGTGCTACCAGGCACATCACACTCTTCCCTAAAAACAGTTCAGAATTACTGAAAGCATGGGATGGCACTACATAAACTGATTTTCATAACAGATGGAAAGGTATAATGAACAACGCATTCAGTGCACATCAGCCCTTTTCCTGCTCTGTTTGATAAATCCTCTCTTTTCCATTTCCTTGAAGGTGCTTCAGAATTTTTAGCCTGCGCTAACGAAACAGAGATACGCAGCGTGTCTAAATCTTGCTCTATTTCAAACTTTGCTAGAAAACTCAAGTTCAGGAATTAGAGAATAAGCAATAGGTAGCTTATCATTGTCAAGTAAACACGCTCAACTAGAGGGCTGGGTATCATCCTATTGTGAGTCATTTTCAAGGGAACACCCACTTGTGCTAAAGATGCGTCAAGTTAAGCTGTGTCACTCTGCGGTGTGATAACATCCATACCCACCTGTGTTGGATGGAGTGAAGCCTGGTAAGGATGGGCTGTTGAGGCCTGGGAGCAAGACTGGAGGGATGCCCTGTAGTGCTGGGTATGCAGCAGGAAGGTTAAGAGCTTGCAGAGGGGTGTTATCAAACATGCCCTGCTGTTGAGCTGCCAGACCAAGAACCTCATTGGCTTTTTTGATCCGGTCCAGCTCCTGCTGAGCCATCAACTGACGTACAGTAGCTGGGTCAAAATACTCCTTTTCCTTATCCAACTGGCTTCCAATGGTTTCTTTAACTTTGGAGATATGCTGTTGAGAGAAGATATGGTCACGTACAGACAGCCGAGCGCTGTACTTGATGCCACACAAAGTGCACTCTGTTTTGGGTCCCTCGTAACTTGTTTGGTTTATACCAAAATGCTTGGCCATGCTGAGTTTGGACTTCTTCTCCTTTGCCCTAGCATTCTGGAACCAGACCTGAACAACTCTCTTTGGCAGTCCAATGTCATTGCCCAGGACCTCACACTCCAGCATGGTAGGTGTCCTGTAGTCATTAAAGCATGACTTAAGAACTTTTAGCTGGAGATTAGTCATCTGAGTGCGAAAGCGTTTCTGTCCGGGCCGATCCCCGCTCTCTCCAGACTTGCTGGCTGAACCTCTTGCACCAGGGCTTGGTGAGCAGGGGTCTGCAAGGCTGGATGTTTCGCTATAGTCCACAGTACCTTCATTATCGTACTCTTTGCTGTAAAAGCTGGGAGCTGGGCTGACCAGGCCAGAAGACAGCCGATCTTCATATTCCGACATTGCTATCATGGCAGCTTTTGTCAGACCTTCACTGGGTCCCGATGCCGATTTGGTTTCGGTCGCAATCCCTGTTGCACTGTCGTTGTCTGCATTCCCTTCATCTCCTGTTGTAGTGTCTGTGATTGCAGTGTTGACAGAAGAGCAGTCATCGTTGTCCAGCTTCGTTTGGTCAAAGCTGAGGTTGACCGAGGACATGGAGGGACTCTCGAAGTCTTCTATCCCCTCCACCTTAATGGAGGATGGACTCAGCAGAGTTCGAGGTGACAGTTCCATGCTCTTGTTCACAGGGGAGAGAGGAACACTCTGTCCATCACTGCTCGTTGGTGGCATGTGGGAAAAACTTGCTCCGTCAAAGATGTCTCCCTTCATTTGGAGTCCCCCATCACAATCTAAGAGCATAGCAGACAACGTCAGGTTGTACCCAGCTCTCTTGGCCTCATGCCAGTGACGGGATCGGATATGAGCTTCAAGAGCTGTCTTTGCTTTAAAGAGAGCTCGGCAGAAGGGACACCGTCTGTGGGCTTGGGCAGGCCCTACAGCTCTGAACTGCCCCTTCCTTTCCCGGGCACGGGTGTTCTGAAACCAAACTTGCACCACACGTTTCTTCAAGCCCACTTCATGTGCAATGTGATCCAACATCTTCCGTGTTGGGTTGGAGTCGAGCAAGTATTTCTGATAAAGAATTTCCAGCTGCTCCGGGGTAATGGTTGTCCTTAGACGTTTATCCCTTTGTGGTTCTTCTCCTCCAGTCCCACTGTCATTTTCTCCAGGGCTTGCGCTGGCCTTTTCCTCCAGCTTTCTCTTCAGTGTGTTCATTGTGGATGTTGGAGTTGACGGTGAAGTGGCTGAGCTTGCTGGAATCTGTGGTAATGTTCCAGAGAGCAGCTGGCTCGCAAGTAGTGGATTACTGGGATCAAAAAGCATGAACGGCATATCCAGTGTTCTGTCCAGGAATGGGGGGTGGATAAACTGGTTCTGTGCACTCAGAAAATGAAGCTGCTGATGTTCCTGCCAATGCTCAAAGGAAGGAAATGCCAGCTTACACTGGTCACACTGGTATGGGATTAGCTGAGGAGGTAGGTTTGCCAGCTGTTGAGGGGTGGACGTGTGAATGGGTTTGAGGGAGAGATGCGAGAGCTGAGATGGACTCGGGCTTGACTGTGACAAAGAGCACTGAGGGGGCTGAGGAGGGGGAGGTGGCTGCTGCAGTGAAGATGGGGAGGATAACTGTGAAATCTTTTGGTGTGCTGAACTTGTCTTTTGTTCTCCTTGGTCCTGTTGCTGCTGAGACTCTTGCTTTGGTTGCACTTGCTTGTCTTGAGTTTGGTTTTGCTGTGTACTTGGAGGTTCAGACTGCTTTGGTTTCTCATCTGTAGCTTCTACTTTAGAGCTATAGGTGGAGGAATCATCTGCCTCTGCTGTGAGCTGCAGAAAAGCTGAGGAGGTTGCATTGGCTGAAGACGTAGGTGTGCTGTAAGCTTGCGAGGGCATTGGTGTGCTGCAGGAGGAACTGGTTGGAGTCAAGAGCTCCATTGCATCCATAGAGTCTTCATTCTGGCTATCATCCTGTCCATCCTCATCCTCATCTTTGTAACAAAGCTTTTTCTGGTGTTTAATGAGATCAAAAATGCGCTGAAAGACTAGACTGCACTTTTTGCACTGGTAGTTCAAGTTGCTTGTTCTAATATACCTGTCATTGGTAAGCTCCCGTCGTTCCCCATCTTTGCCTTCTCCCTGATTCTCATAGTTTTTCCTAGCTTTCTGACGGGCATTCTGGAACCACACCACTATAACACGTGTTGGGAGGTTCAGCAAGTTAGAAAGCTGCTCAAATTCGTCATCCTTTGGATAAGCATTGGCATCAAAGAAATCCTGCAGGACTCTGAGTTGGTAGTCAGTAAAGCGTGTCCGGGAGGACCGCTTGCTTCCCCAGTACTCCTGCTTTTGAGGTTCTGGGGAAGGAGGCCGTGAGTCTATCTTCAGCTCTTCCAGGCTGGTAATGGGAGGATTACTGAAGTTGTACGGGGAATCCTTGTTGCGCTGGCGTTCTTTGAAAAGAGTGTTTCTGAACCAGTGCTTGATTACTTTCTGGGGCAACCCAGACTTGTCCGCCATCTCTTTGATCTGTTCCTCACTTGGGGAATTGTTAATATCAAAATACTGCCGAAGGACTCTGAGTTGGTCGTCGGTGATCCGTGTCCGTGGCCTCTTGTTCTGCTGCTGCTGGAGAAGGCTAGGGTTGAGCTGATGCTGGTACAGCTGGGCCAAGTCGGCAGGCAGAGGGTCTACGGGACCCAGCTGGGGCGGCAGCTGAGCAGGTAACGTTTGTAGTGGCATGGTTTGCATCATAAGCGGCGAAAAGATGGGGAGCTCCATTGGCATGGAGAGCTGGGTGAGTGGCACGGACGGCTGGGCTGGTGCAATTGTAGGAGAGGTAATCGGTGGAGCAGAAGTGGGAATGGTAGGAGTAGAAGCCGGCTGAGGAGGTGCTGGAGGGAGCGGAGGCGGGGGCGGTGGAGGCGGGGGCGGTGGCTCTGGGGTCTGAGGCCGCAGCGGGTACAGTTTGTCATAGTGTTCTCTGTACTGTTTGGCAAATCTCTCTAACTGCTTGAAGGGAAAGTAATGTTGGTGAACATGCTCCTGGTGGCTCTTCAGGATGAGGATGTTGGAAAAGAACTTGCCGCAGGTATCACACTCAAGCTTTTCCAAGTTCTCACCTTGCTCTGTCTTCCCATTTTTCTTCTGCACCTTCTGCTTGTTCTCGTTATACTGAATGACAAGCTCAAAGCCGAAGTTTTCCAGCAAGGCTTTTGTGGCATTCCCTCTTGCGTCAGAGGCAATACGCGGAGGCAGTAAGGAGGGCTCTGAAGTACTGCCTGGTACAAAGTCCTTCTTCTCTTTGGGCTTTAAGTTATCAGGCAGAGACTCCTTGGACGCTACATTATTGTCTCCCCTCTCTGCACTTTCCCGTGGGGTCTCTTTTTCTTTCTCCTTCACTACGGATTTATTCTTCTTCTCAGGGTGCTGCTGGCTCTGTTGTATAAGGACGGAGTGAGGTTGTGACAAGGACAGCTGACCTTGCTGCTGCTGTAAGAGCTGTGGATGGCTCTGCTGAGGGAGCTGAACTTGAGCCTTCAGGTCCTCCAGCAAACTTGGACCTGTACCAGTCAGTGTCAGCGCACCACTGGTGACAGGCAGACTAACTTCTGGATTGAGCTGGAACTCGGCACTGGGGATGTAGAAAGGAAACAGAAGATGCTGCTGTTGCTGAAGCTGCAGAAGGGTCTCAGTGGTCATCGGAAAGTGCGGCAAAAGTGCTGGGTTGAACAGCTGAGACTGCAGGAGAGCAGCTTGCTGCTGCAGTTCTTGTTGCAGATGGGCCTGGACTTGGGCCTGTGCCTGTGCCAAGGTTTGAGCTTGCTGCTGCTGCTGCTGCTGCTGTTGCTGCTGCTGCTGCTGCTGCCTGGATGCAATCATGTCGGCCAGCTTCTTTCGGTTTACCTCTTTGGGCTCGGAAGGGGAGGAGATATTAGTGCTTACAGGGTTACCTAAAGGAGGAATTCCCACACTGTCGCTGGATACCTGGTTGAGCAGGCTGGGAATGGGAGTTGTGCCTGAATTACTTGTGTTGGCGGTTGTAAAAGTATTACTGTTGCTAGCGCTCACTGGACTTGGCGTGGATGAACCCAGAGAGAGACTGCTGTTGCTGCTGTTGCCCGCTCCGTTACTACTGCCACTTCCCCCAGCCGCCTCCAGCTTGGCAGCGCGAGCCTTGGTTTGGTGCAGGACAGACCTCATGTGGATCTCCAAGGTTGAGCTCTGACTGTAGGCCACGTTGCAGGTGTTACACTTAAAAGGTTTGTTGTCTGGGCTGCTGGTCGGTTCAGGCTGCCCAGTAGCAGACTCTTGGAGGGCTCTCTTCAGTTTATGCAGATGAGAAACTGAGTTGTAATGGACCAGGAGAATGTTCTTTTGTGTGAAAGACTCCTTGCAGACCGTGCACTTGTAAGGGCGAGACGGATCTAGGAATTTCTCCATAGTGAAGTTAGGGCCCTTCCTGAAGGGTAAGGCCCTTTTCGGTTCTGAGCCAGAGTCCTCTTGCACCGACCCCGAATCACTACCTGTCGGGCTCTGCTTATCTTCCAAGTCGCTCTCCTCCTCCTTATCTTCCTCGACTATTATAGTGTGGTCTTCTGCAAGCGATGGATCGCCCATAGCGAGGAGGTCCCCGTTGACCAAGAGACCACCATACAGCTGCTGAATGTCGGCCTCGCTCAGCTCCAGATGGCTGGTTTCCAGGTGCTTCTTTAGGGCCTGGAAGGTTCGGAAGCTGCGCTGGCAGAGGCAGCACATTGTGGCCGCCCGGATGACGTGGTACTGGGAATGGAGCTGCAGCTTCTCAATGGTTTTGAACGCCAGGCTGCACTGGTTACAACGGTACTTGTAGACGTGGCGATCGGATACCGGCAGTTGAGGCCGCTTGGCGTGAACTTCGTTGAAGTGTGTCTGCAGGGCTGCCGAGCTCTTGAACACCTGGTTGCAGCCCTTCTTCCAGCACAGGAAGCCGGAGTCCTCCCGGGCAGAGCTCTGATCGGCCGGAACGGGCTTGGGATCTCCGCTGTGCTCTGCACTTTCCGATGGCAAAAGACCCTTTCCCGAGTCTTCAGAGATCTCTGTGAAAACAAAATCAGGGCAAACCTGAAAATTACACCAGCACACAAGGGTGGATCAACAACCCCTTCTGTCCCTAATAAGTCCGTGGTTTTTTTTCTGTGCAAGACAATGGGTATTTCTAACACCTCCCCTCTATCTTCATTCATTTATTTTAATACCAGTCCATTACCCTCATCATGGCCCATTGCATAAACCTACACAATTTACTTTCTTGCCCACTTTGAGTATCTGGAAATTATTCACAAACACACACATCCCCTCAGTACATTTATCTCCTTTAATTCTTCCTTTTAAGTGAAGGCCATTCAGCCACCTGTCTGTCTTTGCTGTTTTGCTTTGATGTCCTGCCTATTTTCCAATAAGAAGGTTCATCAAAATGAATGTAGTACTTGAGTATTTGTCCTATCAAGGACAAGGATGAGGGAGAATGGGAGAATAAGGCATAAGCACTCAGAGCACTGCCACTTTTCCAGGGTCTAAGAGCAGAGTCCTGCCAGAAAAGATAGTGTGATACGGGTAGAGGCCAAAAAGGGGTCCTGGTGCCCAGAGCAGCATTAGCTACCCTGGTTGTGCCAGTGCTGCCCCACTGGGATCACTGCCTTGGCGCCATGTGCCTGAAAGGAAATGATGGCTGTCTTCATTCCCAGATTCCTAACAGAACTCCTAGGAGGGCACAGGAGGAAGATTGGCATTGCTTCCCTGACAAGTCTGAGATCAAGTCTGAGATCATCTGTCAGATACCATGCAGAACACCACTCCTGAGATGCTCTCACATCACACGACAGAGGCAGGACTAACCAGCCATGGATTTACAGCCATGCCTTCATAACACAGCATGGCACTGAAGAAGGCTGAGGAGATTTGGGCCGGATAAGGACTGCAGCAGCTCAAACTCCCCAGACTGTACGCCCAGTGTTCATACTTCAGCAACGATGGCAGCAGAGCAAGTACAGCAGAGCCGATAGCACAGTCTGCAGCCAGCAGCTGCAACCTTCGGCATTTCTCCACCCAGCCCTCCTCAACCCTCTACCACCTCTGCTTTTCACTGCTCACATCTGGTCTGCTCCTTTGCCAGGATTCAACACCACGTCCACGTGAATCGCCAGGGTGGCAAGCTGCGCTCCCCAGCTCTGAGCCGCCCTGCTCTGCCCTGCCGTGGGGAGAGCCGGGCCACCAGCCTGTTGGTGGCACAGAGGAGGGGAGACGGTCCTGCTGGGCACTGTCCGACTGTGCTTCTCAGGAGACAGCTGGGCACAGGGAGCTCACCCAGGTGGAGATGTCCCCAACACAGTCCCTGACTGGTGATGGGAGCCGGGGGAGTGTGGGACCCCTGGAGTTCATTGACCCGCACTCACCAGGCTGCTTCCCCAGCTCCTCTGTGGTGGAGTTCCCGTCCTTCTCCGGAGCGGCTGCTGGGAGAAACATGCTGCTGGGCATCATCACCTCAGGTGTTGTCACCTGGAGACAGGGAGGAAAGGATGAGGGGAGAAGAAAAACACAGGAAAATATTTAAAACATCTTCAGTGGCACAATCAGACACCGGTGTTGTAAAGTCAGAGGCGTCACTTTTCATAGCTCACTGAAGACTCATATTTATTAGACAAAGCTCACATCAGTCAAAAGTGTTTCTACAGTTACATTCTGGACATAATTAGCAGTGCACACTTGAAGAATAATCTTATTATTAATATTTTTCCTTTATGTAGAATTCAGACTTTGATCACTGACAATGTTTTGTCATGGGCTGTGAAACTTCTTGTGCAACCAATTAGGTAGATAAGTTGAAAGGCCCACCTTAAGCTGCTGAAAACATAATAAGGCCCCTAATTAAATCATACCTCGTAAAGTACACTGTAATCTTGAACTAGGGAGCATTGCAGCACTGTTTTCAAAGTGTATCGATGCAGGAAAAGGAGGGGCATGAGAAAGAAAAGTACAAATAAGGAGAGAGGTGACAAAGGAAAGGATGAATAAGGGAAGACTAAAAAGACAGCAAATTGTCTGTGAAATGAAAAGCTTTTGGTAACCCTTTCCTTGCTCTGACTGATGGGTTCCCTTCGCCTCTTCAAGTGGTTGTCTTGAACCTGCACCATCATAACCAGTGCGGTGCTTGAAAACCAACATTTCTGAAGAGCTGGAGTGTTTGCGTGCTTCAACTAGAGATGCTCTTGGAAAGAGTCAAATGCGCATGCTCATCTTTTTCTGGAAAACTGTGCTTCTTTGGGTGTATCTGGTCATATACAGAGAAGATAACAACTACCAGTTTCCACGTGATTGGTGTCAGACGCAGGACAATGAACACCCTTCTGAACGGCCAGAGCCAGTATCTCACACCACCTGAAAAGCTGCCCCACAGCCCTTCTCCCCAGAGCAGCAACCAGAAAGCTGGACCCCTGTCACCGTCACCATCCGTGCCATTCTCCAGCACATGGCTGCCAGCACTGGTTGCCTGTGGCAAGCAAAGACACCTCTACAGCTCTGAGCAGCTGTGTGTTTCACTCCACTGAGGCTCAGGGAACATTCCCCCTTCACCAGGGCCGTGGCACTTGAACAAACGGAAACCAATGCTGACTTGCAGTGCCTGTGGTGCTTCTGCTCCCAGCTTCAGAGGGCTGGGAATGTGAGGTGTACACAAACACTCTCGACAGGTACGCTTCCTAGCCAAGTAAGTCTCTCCATCCTTCTTCTGTCAGATACGAAGAGAGCATTTGAACCTTGGATCTCAGGAGAGAGTGAGGCTGTTATCTGCATGCAGCGTACCTTGCTTTCTGCAGCGTCAAGGACCACAAGGCTCCGACTGCACGGCATGAGATACTAGTAAATCTGTGGTGAAGCTGAAGGTAAACCTGTGTGCAGGACACGAAATCTTCCTTATCTACACCCATGTCAAATCCAAGCAAGCATGGACTAGACCTTGGCTTCACTAAGTGAATGGAAGCAAAAACAGTCCATGAAAAAACTCAGAAACGTGGGAGTGGCTGCAGGTGTCTGAATGGCACTGGGGAGGGATGCTGAGCTCCCTCCCTTTGCTGGGACGGCCGGTGCACGGAGGCGAGCACCAGGTCCCACAGACATCTGCAGGAAAGGCAGCTGACACTGATAAATCACCAGGAGGGAAGCTGAGCACATCAAATTCATTCCTCCTTTTACTCTAAGCAGGAGTATATGATGGCTGTGGGTGGTGGGTCGGGAGACGTGAAAGGTCACTGGTTAATTCCCGGTAGCCGAGCTCGGAGGAGGGGGACGAGCAGAGGTGCCGAGGAGGGAAGGCAAGAAGAAGCCATCCCTCTCAGCTTTATCAGCAGGGAGAGCGCTTTCCTAGGATCTTTAGGAATTATGAAAAATAAATCATGAGAAATTAAAAAAAACCCCAACAGAGTAGAAAAAGAATAAAATTATCTAACACCTCAGCTGCACATCATTATAGAAAACTGTGGGCTTTTTATACGCATTACAGTAAGGCAGCCAACCCCACTACCACACTCAGTACGACGGATCAGTAATTGTTTTCATACACTTTAATTAGAAAAACTCAGATGGCTATGAATAATAATGGAAAAGAGAGACTTTTGCACTTGAAAGGTTGAAGTCAATCAAGTGTGAATGACGGCAAAAAAGAAAAAAAAAAGACACCAATTCATCAGGCCTCTGTTGTCTCGCCGTGTCTTTAATCATAATTCCTGATTGGGATTCAAGAAGGCAGTAAGCAGCGGTTCTTTGTCTGCCTTCACCTTCCGTCAATTAACTCTCCCCGAAATATAATCATCAACCTCACATGCTCCTCTGCATCTTAATCTGGGTCTCCAAACCAATAAGTCCTGCCCTATATGTGTTTAAGTAATTACCTTTATCTACCTGCATCTCCATAGCCACAGTTCTCGCCCTACTGCTGCCCCTCCCTCCACAATAAAAGAAAAAAAAAAGGGGGGGGAAGAAAAAAAAAAAGGCTGTGATACATTAAATTGCTACAGGCACAAAATCCCAAAAGACAAATGGGAAAAAGCTTGGAAGAAAGTGCAGGAAACTAGAAATTCTGAATATGGATGTAGGGCAGCTGCTGGCGGTCCAGACAGCCCCACAGGGCTGGCCCTGGGAAGCAAAACCTTGAGAACAGGCACTGGGTCAGGCTCCAGCAACTGGACTGCCTTCGTCCTCTACCTCTTCAGCACCATCCATGCTTCTCCTGGAAGTGACGCCCGTTTCCTGTGCCACTGTCCAGGGCAGGACGATGTCCTCTGCCTCTACATCCCCAACCACCACTCCCCACCAGGTAGCAAAGATAAAAACAGTGAAAACAGGCTGCATGTCTCAAATCATTTTGCATTTACACTGATTTCCAGACTGCCCGTTTCGAACTATTTATCCTTTTTACCCTGCAAACCCGCCCGAGGATGTACCATTTCCTTGTACAGAAAATGCCTCGCACCTTGCAGCTGCTTTTAATGCAAACAAACAGCGGGAGCACGGAGGGGGCAGGGAGGTTTAGTAGGCCATGGCCACCCGACAGATAAACAAGGGGCGGTGCTCTGCGTTTTGTACTTCAGGTGTATTTAAATGGCATTAACTGTTCTGGTGATAGAGGTGTTTATCTCGAGCACAGCCGGTTAGCGCCGGTGGTTGTTAAATGCTCCCCACCTCCCTCTCACCTGAGCAGGCAATACCTGGCATGTAATCCGGGCATCCGTCCTCAGCTCTGCTCAGCGCCTCTGCCTCCCTGTTTAAATCTCTTCAACACCAACTGTTCCACAACAGCAACATGTCAGTCAATGTGAACCGTTATTAAAAAACCAACCCTACAGACATGAGTCCAACAAATGTGCTGTCTTATCCCTTTCCTCCTTCTGTACATACTTGTTCTGCTCTGTTGAACATTAAACTGCATCCCTTGCGCAGCTGCAGCCGCGATCCTCCGGCCTGCAAGCCACCAGCCAAGCCTTCCAGCCTCCAAACCCACTCCATCCCACCAGCTGCCAGCCCCGAGCGCGCCCGTCTCCCCGCTGCCCCTTCATCCGAGGTCTCTCTAGGTTGCTCTCCCAGCATCATTGCACAGAAGGCAAACGGCCCCCTCGACCCATGAAACTGGGAGGTGGGGAGAGGTCAGCAGCTCACTCCTACCCACTCCGACAGCCTGGCATTCAGATGCCGATACGTGGAGCAGATGCTGCGTACTGGCACTTCAGTGACAAGGGTCAGCATCCCCAAGAAAACCCCTAAGGCTGGGGCAGGCACTCGGGGCGCACCCTTCTCTCTGACCGCCCCATCCCCATCCCGCTCAGCGGGCCAGGGAGCTTGCTTGGGTAAAGAGCAAAGGAGGGGGCAGTTTGGGGCAGACTGTGGCAGGCCCCTCTTGCACCCCACGTTGAAACATCTCCCCTGTGGTCTGTACTGGAGATGGGAACACCCCAGTGGGCTGGAGAACTTCCCTCTAGAGCAGACTGCAGAGAAGCCCACTACCTGCCTCAGAAGATGGAAAGTTGTTGGGATAAGCCTCTCCGCTTCCAAGGATCCTCCCTTTAGGATGAAATTCAGATTTTCTTAGGCAGGTAACATTTCTTTATGATGACGAGACCCACTGACATGCATGGGCACCCCAATTCGATGGCCATTTTTATAGACTGTGTGGTCCAGTGAGTGACATACAAAAAAACCCAAGGGTTGACATGGCACATCTCCTACCTCCCTGCCCCTTAAGTATTCTCAGCAGATCACCACACCCTGACACCTGAAGATCGCCTGAAGACCTGTCACCGATCTGGAGAACAACCTGTGAGTCCACTCCTCACCAGTGACAACCTACGGCGGTGACAAGCGTAGCTCCTGCCACCACCAGATCTACCAGATTTTAAGACGATGAACTGCAGAGCCGCTTATCAGCACAGGCCGGAGGCTCAGAGCTGCAACACCCCTCCCATGCTCGCCCCGGCAGCGTGACACAAGCATATTCTTGGCACGTCTGAAAAATTAATCTTGGATAGCATGAATAGCCAGCTCCCCCTGTGCACTGGATCTGCCTGCTCTGACTTTCCTCCGGACTGAGCGACCGAATATGTGGACAGTTTCTCTATAAATGCCCCAAAATGCTGAAATCATGCAGTTCTGAAAAGAAAATCTCTGGAAGGGGTCTGAGAAGATACATTACTATCCCTATGTCCATGCAACCAGGGGGAAATACACATGCAACGCAAGGTTCCCAACCAGACAAAGGAGGTAATTTCCATTACAAAGAGAGAGAGAGGGTGCTGGAGTGAAAAGCTTCATTAGACTCAGAGAGGCAAAGCGATGGCAGTATACCAAGGTCACTTCTAATTTAGACCATCTAATTGGCAAACATGGCTCCAAATGGCTATCATCTCACAGGGCTCAGAATTAATGAAGCCCGATTATTTTCATTACCTTCATCCGAGATGGAGAATGAGACACAGAGTGAGAGGGAAAGGGGGGAGTGAGAGGGGGCGAGAAGGAGGGAGAGAGAAAAATTGAATGACAGCAGAAGGGAGAGAGCAATAAGAAAAGACAATAGGAAAGAGGGGAAAAATGTAAAGATAGCAAGAGGGAGAAGTGAGGATGGCAGCGACGGGCAAGAATTACTCTTGGTGCAAGGGAGAAAAGAAAAAGACGGAAAGATGGCTGTAACACTGGGAAGACGCCCTAAACCGAGGAAGAGAAAACTGACAACAGCAATGACGGGAGAGGAATGTGCAGAAGGATGAAGCCGGCCGCGGGAGGAGGGAGAGCTCCCCGCTCCCGGAGGCTCTCGGGAAGCCGCTCCTTCTCCTGGCTTGAGCCCATCAGTCTTGTCAATCGCCTGTGCAGGCGAACTGCACTTCACCCTCATTAAGGGGCTCTTTGCTGAAGCGGTGCAGGCCCAAGATTAGCAGAGAGGCTGTTATGTGGAAAGATGGCGATTAGACCTGCTTAGAGCGGCTGAAATACCATGTAAAATGAGCTTGGCCACACGTGTTCACCAGCTCCGTGGAAGGGATGATGCAGGAGATGGAGGGGGGACATGGCAGGAG